CACACACACACACACACACACACACACACACACACACACACACACACGGGGGCACATACACACATACACACACACACACACACACACACACACACACACAAACACACACTGCAACGGGCCTCTATCTGCCCTGGCCTACAGCCAGTGCCTACCGGGCCATTTACCTGTTCGGCCTGTGGGACCAGGCCGTGGCCTGACCCCACGGCCCGTGTGTCGTTCCAGTCCAGTCCTATCCTGCCTGATACCACTGTCGGTACCAGGCCAGTCCAGTCAAGTCCAGTTAGTCCGTTGGGGGTATATCCCAGATGTTGTCTGTTTTCCATTCATTCTTTATTCTGCACATTTGGAGTACGTGCGTGTCGAGTCCACGTCGGGGCTGCATTGTCCCTTCCAACTCCATCTCCATCTCCTTCTTCCTGACGGACCACCATCCCGACGGGTTCACCACGTTGGTATCAGAGCGGGAACGTTCCCCGCTCCCACCCACCATATCCCGACATACGGTGTAAAACCCGACAACGGGTTTTCACCTGTCTTTTGTCGTTTTTAGAGGATTCGAAAACAGCGAAGACAAGTGCAGCAGTAAGGGAGCAACAGGTGGCGAGAAAAGAGAGACTGCAGCCACAATGGGTGCACGTAAGCGCCAAGGTCAAGGCCTCCCCACACGCACGAGCACGCGCCACATGCCCACGCTGCTCTGTCGCCCCGCTGGCCCCGTTTTCAGAGGAAAATGACGGGAATCAGCGGAGACAAGTGTAGCAGCAAGGGAGCGACAGGTGGGGAGAAAAGATAGAATGTCGCAACAACGCGTGCACGTGTGTGCCAAGGCCAAGGTCGCCGCACACGTACGCACCCGCACCACAGGCCCACACTGGTGCCCACGTTGCCCACGTTGCCCCGCTGCCCCGCCACGCTCCGCTCCCAGATTATAGTTATCAACGCAGCCCCACCCCGCCCCGCTTCCGGATTATAGTTCTCAAGATCCGGGATGCATGCTGCTGCCAGGGTTTGAACCTGGGCAGCTGACAAATATGCGCATGCATAGCCAACACCTTGACACACTAACGGTCATTTCGTCAAAACGGACATATTGTATTTTTTAAACGAAATTAAAATTGCATTTTTCGGTGAAATCCAGTCCAAATTTTTGGCTCGTGGAGGTCTGACGTTCTAAGAACGCCGGACCCCTAGGAGCCAAAAATGTGGACCAGATTTCGGCCCAAAAGTGCAATTTTAATTTCGTTCAAAAAATATAATATGTCCGTTTTGACGAAATGCCCGTTCACTGGCCAAACTCTATGTATGTCCCTATACTGCCGGACGCTGGTGTTGAAGAATGTTCTGACAGCTATTTATCCCCCCACCCCCCCACCCCCGTCGGCGAGCGGAGATCAGCGACCAGCAGGACAACAGCGGGCGGCTGCTATTTGCTTCCCCCCCTCCCCGCGGCCGAGGCAACGTGGTTGCTGTTACCTGCGCCCGTGGCCATCTGCAGTGCCACGTGGCAGCTTGCTGAGGAGCTGAAGTACAGGCCAATCTGGGTGGTTGATCAAGATCTCAGCACACCCACATGATGATGACGATGCTGACTATTATTCTTTGTAAGGCCAATCTGGGTGGTTGATCAAGATCTCAACACACCCACATGATGATGACGATGCTGACTATTATTTTGCGTATTGTTGCAACAACAGTTTGCCAGCAAGTGAAAAAACCCCTGGCTAGGGGGCGGCTGCGCGTCAGTGCAATCACGGTGGCTGATCAAGATCTCAACCAACCTTTGATTATTTCAATATGATTTTTTATGTTGCATCAGCAGGCTGCCAACATCTTGAAGGCCAACATCCAGTGGATCTTGGTGATCTTGTTGCTCTTGGCCAACCAAGAGCTTGGTATCATCACTCCCCACTAACCTACTTTTCCACCACCCCCCTCTTTCTCCCCTCTCCACCATGTAATCACTTTTTCTAACTCCACCACTACTCTCTCCTCCTGCCTCCCTCTTCACTCATCTTCCACCATCTTTTCTCTCCTCCCCTCCCCACTCACCATCTACTAATCTCTTCGACTCCTCTCCACCTTTCCCGTCTCTTTCTCTCTCATTCTCTCACCCTCCTCTCCCCTTCCCTCCCCTTCCCTCCCCCAACTCCAACCCCATCATCCCCCCCCATCTCCCACTTCAATCTTTTTCTCTTTCTCGCCTATTTCTCCCTTTCTTCTTTACTTTTTCATCTCCTTTCCCCCCAACTTCAATTTTTTTTTTTTTTCTTCTTTTTGTCTTTGTTTTTTAATTTTTATTTATTTTGAAAATTCAAAATTTTTTCGGCATCTCTATATCTGTTTAGGACTTAGTTATTTCAGCTCTCGGCGCACATTTTAACCTCGTGGGGGTAATGAAGTGCTGCCGAATTTTTTTTTTCTCCCTACTCGCCCTCATTTTACTCAGTCATATCTTTTGCCGACACACTTTCACCCCATGGGGCTAACGAAATGCTGCCGAAATTTTTGAAAAATCCAGTACTTAGTTTCTCTCCACTCTCCACCTCCTTATTCATTTATTTATTTATTTATTATTTTTATTTATTTATTTATTTATTTGAAATTTATAATTTACGGCATTTTGAACCTTAGTCTGCTTATCTTGGTCTCTCCTTCCTCTTGGCACATTTTTAGACCCCATCAGGGTTCCAGAAACGTTGCTGAAAATTCCAAAAAAGTAAATATTTTTTTTCTCTTCACATTTTGTTTATTTATTTCTTAATCTATTTTTATTATTTATTTTCTTTTATTTTTATCTCGAACTTTCATCGTTTATTTATTTATCTTTCCTCCTCCTCTCCACGGTGGCTATTTTCTCTTCTTGATTAGGTCGCCGCTACCCTACCCTAACCATCAAAGCTCCGGTTAAGGTTTTCTTAGAGTTTTTCTAAGGCTTCGGTCTCCTAACCCCGCTCCTCTCCCGCCTCCTACCGTCGGGCACCCTAAACCAGAACGACTTTTCTCCCTTCGACTGGATTCTCGCCACCATCTCACACGAGACCCGCTAGTCACGGAGTGAACCGACTCATGACTACCCACTCCGCTCCCGCTGTGCCCTTCCTCTCACCGTTGGTCCGCTATCCCCACGCCATAACCCATCTCCTTCCCCACCTCTTTCTCCACCTCCCACCATGTCTACCACCATGCGCCCACTACCCACGGACGGGGCTACAACTGAGGAGATCGTCCGCTGTTCTTGCGTCCCTCCTTGCAACTCTGCAAGTGCGACTTGATCCGCTTGCACCCTTGGAGAGGCAAGTAAATGTACTTGCCCTTGAAGTTCACACCGCCTCAAGGGTTCTCCTCATCGCTCTTCCCACCGCTCTAAGACTTCATCCCCTACCGGCTCAGAGTCCGACTCTCCATGACTCCAGAGATGGAGACGTGGTAGCTGGTCCTCCTCCTCGGGTCAGGCTCAACACTCCCCCTCCGCGGTGGTTAGTGTTGCCAACCATCTGTTACGGCACACCCGTTGGACCCTGCCGCCCCTACCGTTTCGGCCACTACCGTCGGTGCAGCTGCCTTGATACCTATATCTGGCTAGACAATTTCATCTACTCATCCCGGTGTGGCTTCCCAGCTTCCCACTTTGGTCCCGACACTACAAACTAGAGTCCTCCCTCCTCCCATCCTCTCCTCACTCCCACCCCAGGGTCCCCTCCAGTTCATTACTCCTCTTCCCGCTAGGGTACCCTCTCCGCCTCCTCCACCTCCGACCCCGCACACCCAGCGAGTGGCTACTTTGCAGGTCACCATCATGCAGCTTCAGGCGAAGATTCTCTCCTTGAGACATCCTTACCCTTCATAGGCTTCTCACCCTTCTTCTTCTTACACTTCCCCTCTCACCTCTGTCTTGCCGACTCGTTTCCCTCGACCGATTGCGCCCCCTCTACCCTCCTACCTCTCCACTCTATCACAGCTAGTTGCGACCATTGCCTTCACCTCTGCTGGACCTTCCACGAGCAGCCCTAGCTCACAGCCTGCCACCACTTCTACCCCTTCACCAGCCTCGACATCTGTCGTCGCGTTGCAGGCCCATCAGCCTCTCTCCCCTCGCCGTCAGTACAACAGTCCCACCCTTGTGTGCCTGTCGGATATACCCGACTACGATGGTACACTTCATGTGTCGCACTGGTTGCAAGCTGCCACATGTGAGCTGACACTAACCAACATTGATTAGAACTTATGGTGCTCTATGCTCGCAACTAAATTGCGAGGCAACACATTCTCCGCATGGAAGAACTATTATACCCATCGTACTTGCTCAGGTGAGGCTCCCACTCTCGCGGATCTCACTGTGTTTCTTCATGACCGCTATGACACTCTCCATGATGCGACCGGCGCCTTAGATTGTGTCACACAAACTCACCCTCAATGGTGCGGGTCCTCCGCACCAGCAAACCTTAAGCATCACATCAAAGTGTTTCGGGACGTCCGCCACATTTGTGATGACGCACTCCTACCTGAGGTTCTGACCAACAGTTTCGTAGTCAGTCTTCTGACTGACTACCTCATCGAGCCTTGACAACATAGCTTCACCTCCTTATAGCACACCTACGAGACTGCTCGACAGTACCAGAAGATGTGGAGTCCCTTTTCCGGCTCCCAATCTTCTTCGCGATCCACCGTCGCCGCGACCCAGTCTCGTGGTACTACTTGCGGTCGATTCTCTTTCGCCGGCCGCTTTCGCCAACCAGCTCGACCTGGAGCGCCATTCTCTCGGCGCTACAGTTCTGTCGAGTATGGTGAGGACGCCTCAGCCGAGCTCGACCCTACCCTTGGGAACGCCCCCGAGGACATTAAGCTTCAGGACGTTATCTTGTACCACTTGGATGACGACACTGTCCCGGTGGTCGATCGCTTACAGATGGTCATGTCCGCCATGGGTCGTGCGCACAGTCGGGTTACACAAGCTAACATCCGCACGTTCGCAGTTCCTTAGATCCACCTCTCGCAGGGTTTCACCCCTCATCGTGGAGCTCTATCCCCCGAGGACAACATAAAAATTCCCACAAGAAATGAAAGTTGAAAAAAATTCCATAAAAAAAAAATTCGTCACATTCATAAATTATCATTCCAATGTTCGTTCAATTCTAAAATTTCCAGTTTTATTTGATAAGTTCCCGTCTAAATATGAGATTTCCCTTCCAACTACATCTATTTGTTCAAGATGAAATGAAAGTCTGGACGAGTTTATGAAATGTTTTAATTAAATTTTCATTCTACTTCAACAATATATTATAATTTAGATCGGATTAACCTATTTATGACCGAAAATCCTTACTTAGAATGACAGTCCAATTAAAATATTTCATGAACTCATCCAGAGTCCAGACTTTTATTCCATCTCTAGCATGCAGTCCAAATAAGAAGGGATACCCTATTCTTGGAATGAAAGTTTGAAAGTAAGATGAAAAAATTTAAAATTGGAATGACATTTTTTAAGATGGAATAAAAATTTAAAATTTAGATTGTAATTTTACTATTGAATGATTATTTAATTCTGGTAAAATTTTCCGTTGGAGCGTGCCGCCCTCGAGACCCGTTGCGGCTGCCTTCGTTGCTGTCAGGATGGACACACCTCCTCACGGTGTCCATACCATGACACCCTTGATTGGCACTATGTTGACATTTCTCGTCAGCGCCGATCTCATTCCCCCCCCAACCCCGCCCGGCCAGCCCCATCCATCTAGCCACGGTGCAGTGTACCGGTGACGCCTCGCACGTAGCCGGTTTTCCCACCACCAAGTCGCGCTTTGCCCTTTTGGCTACCCCACCAGAGGACCCTCAGGACACGACAAACGAAGTTCCCTCTGCCCCGCCGTCTATCAAGGTACCGTCTGCCCCACAACAGACCGCCGCATCTAGTCCTTCCCCTCCGAGACTTCCGACGCGTCGTGTCATTCGCACAACTCGTTGTAGCTCTTAGCTGGCGACTCGCGATGACGTTTTTTCATCTCTCCTGGACTTTAGCATCCTTGAGGCTCGTCAGGAGCGACTCATGAGACACATAAACGTTATGCGTCGTTTTCTCACTCTGCTCTCTGACCCTGATCACACCCTCCCCATTATTCCTATCCGCTTTGGGACATCTATGAGGGTGTACCACGCTTTATGGAACCCTGGCTCGCAGGGAGACTTCATTCACCCTCGAGTGGTTGAGGAAGCATATCGAACTAACTCCAGGTCTCGCTCTCCTATCTCCGTTAGCCTCGGAGATAACAAGACGCAGCGTTTCTTCGATCAGACGGTCCCCGACCTCCACTTTTCCCTCACCCTCCAGCCACCGGATAGTACTCAGGCGCCTCAGCGCTACCATTCCGCCGCACACTTCGACGTGTTGGAGATTGGGTACGACTTTATCCTTGGCACTCCCTGGTCTAGCCGGTTTCATGGCACAGAGGCCGAATGGGCGACCGAGACACTCGTTCTTAAAACGAAGTGTGGTAGGAACCATCGAGTCCCCTTCATTGGAACCACGGACGACACCCCTCCTGCCCTACCTCCCCATGACCCATGTTCTTCTAGGTCCCACCCAGACATTGCCTTCACTTCTCCTCGTCATTTTGCTCACTTCATACGACAGGAGGGCGTTACATTCTACTCATTAAACGTCATGGATCTTCTTTGATATGATCCACTCTGTCCTGAGATTGAGCTCAACCCACTGGAGCCCGATCACTCTGACCCTTCCTCCATCTTCGCGGCTCCCATCTCTACATCCATCCCTCAGCTTGAGGATACTACCCCCTCGACATCCGAGGTTCCTACGCCGTTCACTACCGAGTCCACCCATATGTCTCGTGCCGACGCAGACGTTGAGGAACTCATGCGGTTCACGATCAACTTAGAGTCCGCCGTTCGCAATTTGATTCGAGAGTACCATAATATTTTTCCCCCGTATTTCTCATACAGCGGGATCCCTCCGATGCGAGGTGTTGAGCATTCTATCAAACTCGTGTCTGACTATCGTTTCCACCATCAGACACCCTACTGACTCTCGATTCCAGAGGTGACGGAACTCAAGCGTCAGCTTGAGGAGCTCCTTTGACTGGGTTTCAAAAAACCAGTAACTCCCTTTGGGGTGCACCCATCCTCTTTGCTTGCAAAGCGAACGGAACTCTTTGCCTTTGCAACGACTACCGCAGTCTTAACCGTTACACGGGTAAGAACAACTATCTCATGCTTCGCGCGGATAAGTTGTTTGACCGTCTGACAGACAACCGCTTCTTCACGAAGATCGATCTTCGTAGAGGTTACCACCAGATCCGCGTTGCCGCAGAGGATCAACTGAAAACCGTCTTTCGGTCGCGCTTTGGCCACTACGAATTCACGGTGATGCCATTCGGCCTCACCAATGCACCCGTCACCTTCCAGACGACGATGAATGACATCTTCAGGGACATCCTTGAAGAATACATTCTCGTATATCTGGACGAGATTTTGGTCTACAGTCGTCCTTTAGAAGACAATCTCAGACACCTCCGCAATGTCCTACAACGCTTATGCAAGCATGGATTCTATGCCAAGCTTAGTAAGTGCCGCTTTGCTCAGTGCAAAGTGGACTTCCTAGGACACCATGTGTCTGACCAGGGTCTCCACATGGACGATGTGAAGATCACTATTATAACCAAGTGGCCCGTCCCCACATCTGCCAAGCAGCTCGCAGTTCCTTAGGCCTTACTAGTTACTATAGTAATTTCATCCAGGGATACGCTTGGTATTCCTACACCATTACCTCCACCCTTCTCCGGAAGAACCCGTCATGCTTTTGAACATCCCTCTGCGAGGACGCCTTTGGCGCCCTCAAGAAGGCAGTGACTTATGCGCCGGTTCTTCGACTCCCCGATTTTGACTGTTCCTTCATCGTCACCACTGATGCGTTAGATTTTGCAATAGAAGTTGTACTCTCTCAGGTGTTTCTCTCTCCTCCTGATTCACCTTATCCCCATGTTCCTCCTCCCCGCCCCCTTCCTGCTGACACTTCTTTTCGATTGACACCTATCCTCCCACCACTTCCCTCCACTGACAATTCTCCCGTTAATTACTCCTCAACCATCGCAGAGGATGAGACTGTCGAGACTCGTCCTGGGGATTGCTCGATTGGTTTCTACTTCCGTCAACTTCTGCCTGCCGAGATAAACTGCACTGCCGATGAATGTGAGGTTCTTGCAATAGTTTATGCTACCCGACATTGGCGTCATTATGTGCACAGGGCGTCCCTCATGGCGCGCATGGACAACTCCGTTGTCCAGATTTTCCTCACGAAACCCAAGCTTTCCCCTCGATAGGCACACAGGTGGCATGATTTATCCAAGTTTTGTTTCACCACTTAGCCCATCAAGAGTGAAACAAACCACATCGCCGATGCTGTGTCCCGCCGTCCTGATTACAATCAGGAACCCCTCCATCTTGTTGCCATCTCCGTCAGCACTGTTGATCAGTAGGCGATCGATGCATATCGCACTCAGTATGATCACTGCCTGGATTATCGCGTCATCCACGAAACATTGCGGAGTGGCAAGACAGTTCCCTCATACTCACTCGGTAAGAACGGCCTTGTGTACTGGCATGGCAGATCTGGTTAGCTAGACCTACGTATCTCCGTTCCCTCCATCGGACAACTCCGCGTTCAGGCTGTAGCAGAGTTTCATGACCAGGCAAGTGTCGGTCATATGGGCTTCCATAAGACATTGGCTCGTGTTTGCCACCTGTACGTCTGGCCGAAGTCCAAGGACTTCATCAAAGCCTACATTCAGGAGTGTCCTACCTACAAGGAGGTGAAGAGTGCGAATCACCTTCCGTATGGGTTACTTCAGCCCCTATCCATACCCGAGGGTCGTCGACAGTCTATCTCGATGGATTTCATTGGTCCCCTTCTTCCACCCACTGAGCAAGGTCATGATGCTATCTTGGTCGTCGTCACTCGCTTCACGAAGTGTGCACGTTTTGTTCCGTGCAGCTATCACATTAACGCTTGTGAGGTCACTGACATCGTCTTCCACCGAGTCGTGAGAGATCACGGCCTACCTCAGAGCATCATCTCCGACCGTGACCCGCGCTTTACCAACACATTCTGGCGAGCATCATCTCCGACCGTGACCCGCGCTTTACCAACACATTCTGGCGACGCCTGCACGAGGCGTACTGATCCTTGCTCCGCTTCTCATCGTCTTACCACCCTCAGGCGGATGGTTAGACTGAGGTCACCAATAAAAACTCTCGGTAATATCCTCCGAAAGTTTATTAGGGGTCACAAGCAGTGAGACTTATACTTGGCCCATGCGAAGATTGTGTACAACCATGTTGTTTCGCCAGCCACGAGGATGTCATCATTCTATTGTGACCTCGGCTACCACTCTCGAGTACCCGCAGACGTTGTACGACCATCGCGGTTGCGCCCCGACACTTGTTGTTCTTCGCTTGACGACTGGATCACCCACATGGCCATGATTATGAAGCCCGCACACGAGAGTCTACCTGACTCCCAGACTCGCATGACCGCACGAGTGAACCGATTACGAATGGATCATTCATTCAAAGCCGGTGACGATGTGCTCGTCGACGCACGACACTTGCAGCTCGAAGCAGATACGCTTCGCAAGTTCAGGCGTCGCTTCTTCGATCCATGCCGCATCCTTCAAGCCGTCGGTTTTTATATTGCCTCTAGTCTGATCAACTTTTGTGTGAAGCTACCTGATTACCTTAGACAGGCTCGCACACACGATGTTTACCACGTCTCATTGTTGCGTCCTTATCGCAGACCGTCTAAGCGCTTCGCCGGACGTCCTTATGAGCGCCCTCCACCTATCACGGTGGATGGTCACGAGGAGTTCGTCATTTCCAACATCGTATCTCGCCGAGTTACCGGCGATACCCCTCCATACATCGAGTACCTTGTGCGTTTGAAGGGATATCCTTATGAGGAGGCTATTTGGGAGCCTCTCGAGCACTTGGAGCATGCCCGGATGTTGATGAGTACACATGACTGTGCTCGTCGTGCTGAGACATCTGCTCCTACTCAGCCAACTGACCCTTTTCCTCCTCCTCTGGCTGAGGAGATTGCTGAGGACGAGCTCGCTCCCTCTGAGGCCGTTCTTTGGCAGCAGACGAACGCCTCCCCGCGTCCATAGCGCACTCGTCGACGTCCTCGGCGTCTCGACGACTGACACTTTGATCACCTACCTTCTCCCTACTGGCTCACATCTTTAATTACTCAATCTCAGCTTCTTCAGGATGTCAGCGTTTTGCGGCTATGCTTTGACATCGACTGGACTCCTACTTCATCGATGTCATCAACCACTTCGACGACGTCAGTTACCTTATCGACTTCAGCCATCTCATTGGCTTCAGCTACTTTGGACGTGATTACTTCACGCAACCACCCTACCTTATGCATTCCCTTGCATGTGTTGCATGATGGTTCTCACTTAGCTGGGTCTCTCTGAGTTGCGCTCTCCCTTGGTATCGCATAGGCATTGAGACCGTAGCGTTATTTTAGCTTCCCTGCTCCCAGATCTAGCTCTTTCCCCCAGTTGGTGAGTTGTGTGCATGTTTCCCTCATCCACTCCATCCCTCATCACCCTAGCGTTGGGCATTGCATGCCCTTAGTTAGGTATATGTTTACCCTATTCCAGACTCCCCTTTCATGATCGACCCTGCATGGTGTCACCCATTCATCGACCATTACCCGCCTTGATGGTCTATCTGTTAGGGTCATTGGTTTTGCTTCGCTACCATTCCCTCACCCTGAGCCTGATGACCTATCCCACCTTTGTGTGTAATTGTCATTAGGAGTTTCGATTTTTAGGCTGCATTCAACCCCTTTGAGACCATCCCACTCTTAGTGGTTCAGCGACATAATATTACTAGTGATATATTTGCTCTTCTCCTTTCAGCACTGAGTTTAGGATTGTATCATCCTACATTTCATTCTCTGTTGTTATGTAGGATGTGTAAACCAAACATTTGCTTTTCATTTGACATTATGTAGCTTAGGCCGCATCGCATGGACTTCCCATGGAGCTTGCTCCGCATCCTAGATTTTTCATCTTTTTTTATACAGAGTTCCGCTGCTTTTGTGGATAGCGTGTTTCTGGCTCTTGCGATCCACTACAGGTCTGAGGATTGTGCAGCGGACCTCTATTTGTCCTAGCCTAGAGCCACAGCCTATTGGGCTACTTGCCTGTTTGGCCTGTGGGACCAAGCCGTGGCTTGACCCCACAGACTGTGTGCTCTTTTTAGTCCAGTCCAGTCTTGCCCGGTACCACTATCGGTATCAGACCAGTCCTTTCCAGTCCAGTCAGCCCGCTAAGGGTATACCCCAGTCGTTGTTTGTTTTCCATTCATTCTTTATTCTGCACATTTGGAGTGCGTGCATGTTGAGTCCGCGTCGAAGTTGCGTTGTCCCTTCAAGCTCCATCTCCATCTGCTCCTTCCTCGACCCTAGCGGCTTGATCATGACAGACCGCCATCCTGGCAGGTCCGCCACACACACACACACACGTGACACACATTCACACACACACACACACACACGCACGCACACACGCACACACACACACATTCACACACACATTCACACACACAYTCACACACACACACACACACATTTACACACACACACACACACGGGGGCACACACTCACATACACACATACACATAGACATACAGACACACACACACACATACGCACGTGATACACACACACACACACACACACACACACACACGCACCCCGCATCCTAGGCAGATTGTTGGGGTTCAACTTCCTAATAAGTCGGTGAAATTCCGACTAAACAGTCGAAGGGTAACTCCCTATAATTTTTTCAATTTGTTT